TTCATGGAAACAGAACATTTTAAATGCTATTTTTGTCAATAAAATAACATCCGCATTATATTTACTGCTTTAGTAGTTTAAAATATATATAACTATGATATATAGTTAGCTAATTAGGGCAATTCCTCCCTTAAACTGTTATTTTAATGACAAGGAAAACCACATAATTATATTTGAATTCCATAAAGCAGTCTGTTTTGCAAAATTTGAAACTAAGATATAATGTAAATATTTATCATAGGGAAATAATTTTAACTTATTGTACTTTATTAGGGAGAGAGGCAAAATCTGATATGTAAAGGGAAGACAGGTTCCAGGGAAAGAAGAAAATAGGCAAAGATACAATTATTCCAATTGTTTAAGATGAAGCAATTAAAGTTCTTATACCATCACTTCCAAATTGTTATTTCATATATTTAAATGTATATAGCAATAAATTATCTAACTCATCAACTTCTTAAAGCCTCCTGACAGAAAAAACATATAAAAATAAATATAGCATGTTAGACAACCCAAACTCTCAAATCATTTTATAATTTTCTCTTTCATAAGACTGGCACTTGTCCTTCCCTTCGTATTTTCGCTCAATCGCTATCAATTTAATTAAATAGCAGATATTATACATCACTTTAAATACTATTTAGCCAATTTAATATTACAATAGGATAAAATTATAGTAGGCAAATGCAACAAATAACCTCAACACTTCTCAACTTAGGTGATCAAAGGGGCTATCTGTATAGCTTTCTCTGTCTATAATGACTTCTAAGTTAGCTGAAAAGAGGTGATGAAGAAAACAGTAGCCCATTATCAGGTAAGCTATTTTAAATAAATTTTATAAAGTGAGAAATGGGGCCTAAAACAGTCTGTCATTTAAATGTCTTCGATAGTTTTATATATTGTCAGAGAAGAGGGATCTATATATAAAAATAATATGACAGATAAGTACATATATTATGGTTTAACATGATTAAAGACATTATATTCCTAATTAATATTCATTTCTAATTGGATATAGTAAGCACAACAGCTTTTGTTTTTAATATTAAATAGAGTAGAAATTTTGGAAGTATCCACTTAAAGAACAGCATTAAAAGAATTTGGGAAAGTATAATTTTATTTTTAATTGCAATTAAAAACATACAATCCCCTATTAGATTTCAATGGTTATTAAATATGAGAAGTTAAAACAAATTTTCTGCTTTTCAGTATTTTGTTATGAATTCTTTTGCTGGAGGGAAGAGATAGGACACAGCGAGATATGTGCATTTACATTTTCTGTCTCATAAGAGTTGAATTCATTGATGTGCCATGTTGCTTTAAAGATTATTATAATTTTACATAAACTTTGTCATGGCATTTTTTTTTTTAACATATTCGGAAGTTTAAGAAAATACAGAATAGCTTTAAAATGCTGGAGTCTACTGACCAATTTGGTATTCTGGCTGGGTAGCTTCAGAGAGAAAAAAAATAAAGTAAAAATAAAGTATGGTTACTAAAGGTTAAGGCTCATTAAAATAGCAGTGGTGCACAATTCTGGAAATTTTTCAAGTGTGGAAACAGTTTCAAGCTTGAGCAGTCTTTTTGGTCACATGCACAATCATGAATAGCATCTTTGAATGTGAACAATGACAGCAACAAAACAACATTATTTCGTGGATCAAAGGATTGAGAAAGGTTCATAAAGGAACAAATATTGGGGTAGGTTCATGGTCAACGAGTACAATTTCCTTAGATAGCAGATGATTATTATAGAGATTAGGAATACCAGAAATGGAGTATTTTCTCCAAAAGAAGCGTATTTTCTACCCAATTTCATGTTATAAATTATATGTATTTTAGGAAAAAAACTGTATGTACTGAAAAAGTATATTTCATTGTTTGAACCCATAGTTCTCAAACTTTAGCATTCTTCTGATTTGTCCAGAGGAATTGTTAATTTGGGGTGAGGTCCCATGAATTTGCACTTCTAAATTCCATTATGATTTGATGCCTTTGGTCCCAGGCCATATTTTTAGAACCACTAGTTTAAACAAAGTCTTTCGCTTTTCTCTAGAGGACAGATATTTTTATGTTGTCCTAGAGCTGTTGATCCTTAATTTTGACTATAATGTTTCTCAATACGTAAAGTAATGATAGTGACAACAGAGGAACACAATACTAAAGAGCTATAATAGAAAGTGCTAATGGCTACAAAGGTTGTAAATTAGAAGATATCCTTTAATCTCTGTAAACTCTAAAATCGCTTCATATTTTCTCAATTTGTAAATTATATAGGTATCACTTTGTAAAGTAGGGTATTAAGCTTTCTCTTTCATTTTCAAATTCTAGTACTACTCTAGAAAACATTACCATCTTCCCAACAAAGTAACTTTGTTTCTTAAAATCAGTAAGGAAATGCTGATGTGTTTTTGTTTTTCAAACAGAGAAAAATAAGTACAGTGAAACTACCAGAGAGGAAGTATGGGGGGGGGGCGGGGAGGAGGTGATGGTCTTATAGCTATACTGACAATAGTACAAGGAAATAAAAGTTGCAGAACAAAACAGTTCCATATTTAGTAGGATTTAGTTCTGGGCTTTTCTAAGACACTGAAGGTCAAATCAAAGATATAAGGAAATTCTTTCAGGCCTCACAGACCAGACTTGGCACCATAATCCAACACACTTTTTGTAAATAACTAGATGATTTAAGGTTAATCTTGGCAATAAATGGAGACCTCCAATTCTGAGGCCTTAGAAAAGACACAAAACTCTGCCATGCTGTGGGAAATGTGAATTCCTAGGATGGCGATAGTAGTTTGTATGTTGAATTTGATTTATTTCAATAAGCATTTGTTGAATGTGTTATGTACTGAAAAAACAGAGCATTTCTCATACCACAAGGCTCCTACTTACACAGTATTTTGTATTCGCAAAGTACTCATTTTTTTTTTTTTTTTTGCTTAATATTAAAATTGAAGCAACCTGGTATGAAAAATTAAGTTATTATAGCAAGTGTTACTTGCTGTTGCCAGGACCAGATTTGCTGTAACAACGGACCAACAACACTAGGAATAAATTGTCTGTGGGCTACCTAAATTATTCAAAGTTTAAATGAATCTCTAACTAGTTCTAGATGATGGAATAATTTAAAATGTAAATTACCCATTCAACAAATGCAGAGTACCAACATTGTTGCAGTGTACTAGGCACTGGAGAGTAATAGTGAACACAATGGGCAAGTGCCCAGACTTTGAGCATTACAAATTAGTAGGAACACACACACTCACCAGAAGTAAATTATACATGAAAGATGTTAAAAGGAAGCATAATTATAAATGGTCTGAAGTGGAGATGGGGTGGCACCATGAGGTATACTACAAGCAGGTCCATGCCTTTTTTGCTGTTCATCTATTCACCCACAAGAATAGCACTTTGTCCTGTTTATTAACAAGGTATTAAAAACCTTATTAAAAATGATCTGTGGTCAACTTTAATACAGTAGAGGAAGAAGAGGAATAAAAGCCTTAGAACACTGAAAAATTCCTATAACTGAATGGAGAAAGTCAATACTTAAATGGGGAAGACTGTAAACAGTTTAATAATTTCAGCTATTTTCCTAACTTAACCATTTCTACTTATTTTGCTTATGGTAAGATATTTTCATGTGCTAAAATTTCAGTTTGGAACAGTAGAAAGCTAATCCTGAAAGATTGTTATGATTCCATCACAGGAGTGCTCTAGGACAAGGCAGAGAGCCAAAGCTTCAGTGACCACAGGCTCTAATTCAGAAGACAGATGAATATAGATTCTGCAGTTAGGAGCTAAGTATCCACTATATATGCATTTATATTTTAAACCCAAATTAAGTTGTTGAGTTGAATGTCACACCACCTTAGTAGCACTTTTGTTCTTCTTGGTAAGTTATTTTGTGACCTTGCGTGCATGTTCTTTCATGATATATTAAGTACTTTTTGCACACAGTCAACTATGGTGGGAAACAGTAACCTAGACATCAAAGATGTTCTAATTCTAATTTACCTTTACATAACCTATAAGCGTGGGTGGCCTACAATCTCTGCCAACACATTTGAACATCAAAATCGAATAGAATTCAAGCAAAGCGAGCCTACCGGTGGGCTGGAGAGGTATACACAAAGATTAGTGAATAGTATAGCAGAACACCGGCACAAAAATTACAGTACTTAACAAGAAGACATACTGCATTTTATGCATACTGAAGCTCACTCTTAAAATTACAAAGAGCTTGTTGACTAGATTCATCAAGGCAACATTTTCTCAGCTCTCTAGAACCTACGTCTTCTCTCTTCTCAAATTTCTATCCCTCTTCCTCAAAAACCTTTCCTTCTGGTAACGGGCTATGGGATGTTTAACCAAGCCAAGAGAAACCTGCTTGGCATACCACCATCACCGATGGAAAGCACTCAATTTGTTGAATGAAGAACACACGTTACCGTGGGACCAATAAGCTCAAGTCCCTAGCCAGGCCGAAAACGCTGGCTCTACGGGTACTCAGGGAGGCGGCGAAGGAACCGAGGCTACACAGGGAAACACGCGGGCCCCAGCGGCGGAAGCGTTAACGCGAGATGGACAAACTTTCTCAAGGCACAATCTTGAGAAAAATTCTTGGCTCTTCAGATAATGTGGTAAGCACTCTTCACAAAAGCCTCCGTAGAGTTACCCTGCAGGTAAGCACCCTCGCAAATACTCCGACACCGAACGGTCTTTTCCCGAGCGCCGCGGAGTTGAACGACCTCACTGAGGTAGGGCGTCCATCCCTGTGATCGCAGCTCCGCCACCACAGCCAGCCTCACGGGCACTCTGCCCCAGAGCCTCCAAACGCAGGCAAGGTGGCGTGGAGGCTGAGATCCTACTCTCGCGGGATCTCTCCCAATCGCTACGGTGCCCAGGCCCCTGTCAAGACCTCGCGTTTTTTTGAGCCTGGGGGCGGAGCGATCCCAGAGGGGGCGGAGCCGGATAGAGGCGTCCCCAGGCCTTGTTGACTTCAGCATCCTCGAGCGGCTCTCGCGCCTGAGGCTCTCCGCGCATGCCCAGGATTCCGACGACTCTAGAGGCCGCGACGGTCCGGCTTTCTCAGCTGCTGGTCCGGGCGCCGCCCCTCCCCCCGACGGCGGCGTTGGCGACTTTGGCGGCGTTGTTTGGCGGTGGCGGCGGTCGGCTGCTGCGGAGCCGGCCGAGTCTTAGCGCCTGACCCTGCGCGCCGCTGCGGCGGGTCGGACCGACCGCCTCGCCGCAGGTACTGCCGCCGCCCGTGCTCGGGGTCGTGCGGGTCGGCGTGTCGGGCGTGCTTGGGTCAGGCGGGCGGCGGGGTGTCGAGGGAGGTGGGGAGATCCGCGGCCAAGGAGTTGAGGGGGTGAGGGATTGAGGGAGTCTGAGAGGTACGGAGCGGCAGGGAGGTCGGGGGCCAGGCGGCTGAGAGGGGCCGGAGGCGGACTGTCCTGTAGCTCTGGCCGGCTCGGGGGCCAAAGACTCCGCGACGCTGCGGTCCTCAGACACCCGCGGGCCTTTTCAGACCCACCCCGTGACACTGTTGTTGTTTTGATTTTGAAGGAAGAGAACCCAGCCTACGTAAGCTCAGGACAGCCTTGGAGGCCGAGGCTGGGGAGGGATTTAAGAGGCTAGACTAGGCGCTACGAACATTTTCTTACTTTCTGTTTTTCCGTGTAAGCGTTTACTACTGTTTAAGTGTGGTGCCCGCTAGTCCTTAGAATATTTTAAACAGTTTGGAGAGGACTCAAGTGTAGAAGAACCAGAGGGAGTAATTTTGCAAATTCAAGGTTTCTTTTTTAACTCCTAGTACTGTTTTTGTATGTCCTCCTTTTAAAATTGGGAAATCATAACTATATTTTTAAATTAAAAATTAGAAGAATTGGGGTATGGAGGATAAAGTATGGTTTTACCAGTAGTTATTTTCTCCCAGTTATTTTTAATTACAAAAGTACTACGTACTATTTAAGAAAAAAATTAAGCAGCCAAACACCGGAGACGTCGCTTCCCTCCCCCCCCCGCCACCTTTCCCCCCTGTTTATACCCATGGTAGCCAGTCTTCAAGTGTGATTAGCCATGCAGGGTTTTTCTGTGTGTATGATAAATATGTTTTAAAAGTAACATTGGGATCATATATAGTATATAGTTTTAGCCACAATATTCACAGATATTCTTCCATTTTATAACCTCATTCTTTTCAAAAGCTACATAGTTACACACTTTCTTATTGCTGAACGTTGTCTCCAAATTTTCTGTAATCTTTTAGCTTTTAAATAGCTTTTTAAAAGGGCTGAAACATTTTGCAACATAATGTGGTAAAACTTTCAGAATGTCTAAGGGCCAGATGGGGATACTTACACATATTAGGCAAGTTGAGTAATATGTTTACACAGAGCTTAATGGTAGTTTACATGAGGCTTAGATGACTTCATAAAGCAGGTTACTAAAATAGTTTACTTTTTGAGTTTTGAAGTGCATTTTTCAAAGTAAATTTAAATTCCATATGGTCAGTTGAAAATAAATTCAATTCCTTAAACATGAACTGGTTCACGTGTGGTAAAAAGGTAAGGTAGAAGGCCAGTGGCTCAGAAGTTTGTATTTCATACAGGGGAAAAAAAAAAAAAAAAAAAAAAAACCCTCAGAAAACAGCCAGGGATAAAATATTTTGATAGTAACCCATAGAGAGTAAGCTGTAAGCCGTAAGGGTAATAACTACACTATTAAGACGGAAAGCTAGGAACTCCCTATTACATTTTGTATTTCTGTGTGCAGAAGAGCTGGAGGCTTTGTTGGTTTAATCACTGATTTGTATTTATTAAAAATGTACTGTGTATTCATCTTGGTGCTAGCTTCCAGGGAAAACAACTGAGTAAGATAATCACAGAGAACACTCTGTCTGGTTCTAAACATGTATAGCCTGAAATCTTAGGCTCATTTGTGTAACATTTTATTATTTAGAGGGCTGTTTAAAAGGAATCCAAAGCATCCATGGCATTTTAGTTACCCCTGCTGGTAATATGCTCATATATTTTTCACAACAACATAGGTAGTATTCTCCCTATTCTATAGATTAATAAATAAAAGCTCTGAGAGATTAAGCTGTTCAAGGTCCCATAGCTGTTTTAGTGGTGGTGACTGCATTAAACTCAGGTATACTTAATCCAAGAACCTGCTTTCTACTCTGCCATGCTACCTTCCATTAATGAAGACTGCCTTAACATGTTCCTTAGAGACGTGAATAGAATCATATGTAATAAAAAATAATCTAAAGGATAAATAGTGTGAAACTCAAATTGTTTATTTTTAGATGAGGTTTTTGGTGGTGTAATATTAAAATCTTAAATTCCTTGAACCAATGCCATTAATCAAGAAGATGAAGAGATGTGTTACTTTAGTCACTTCGCTTGATGCTCAGGTAAATTTGGATATGATAGTAAGTCATAGTTTCTACAGGTGCTTTTGTTTCTTACAAACTTGAATAATCTCATTACATTTAACAAGTTGATGAACCCAGTTACACTATTTGTAAACTATAAACTGATGAAAAGAATAGAAAGAGGGCCCTAACAACATTAAAATGTGCTTATTTCATTTTTGGTATTTTAAAGTCCCTTAAAAATGCACGATGACAATTTAATAGGATTTGTGTCATAATATTATGTTACATTAATCTATTTTAGTTTTCCAGCAGATCTGACAACTGTAGTTTAAAGAAATATGGCAAATACTGAAGTTAATAAAGTATGGTCAGTTGTAACATGTACTTGAGGAAAAAACACCCATAGAGGGAAATATTTGAGCTTTTATTCTTGGCAATTGTTAAGGATAGTAATTGGATTCACATCTAAATGGCATATCTGCCATCTATTATCTCTTGGACATCTTAACACTGGATCTGAGTGGGTTTTATGGTTGTGGTACACAACAATGTTTCTGTACCAGAAAGAAAGTTTATTTTCAACCTTAGCCTGAAAATCCTTTTGGGGACATATATTCCTGAGTAGCCAAAAATCAATAAACTATTTAGATCCTATGAATGCTAACAGAAGCATCAGGTATGAACTCCTGGTGGTTTAACTATAAAACAACTATTGTGATTTGTCATAAAAGACCTATTCCTCGACAGTTCTGTTTTTAAGGAAACTGGTTAAGATGAAAGAGAAGCTGAAATACAGGGAGAAAAACCTGAAAAATGGCTGTCAAGTAGACAAAAGGAGAGAGTTTCCTCAAAGAGAATAGGTCATCAGAGTCAAACCTGTAGATGGATATCAAAGAATATGAGAATTTAGACATTGTAGTTCTTTGAGCTTTGACATACTGAAAAAATAGCTAATTATTGTCCTGTGTTAGAGCTGTGTTTTGCTGGAGGTTGACTTGGAATAAGGAACACTTCAGTAACTTGCAGGCTCTTAAAAACCTATAATAATCACATTATTGTAAATCAGTTCAGATTATAATCTAAAGTAAAAATGAGCATCTGAAGAGCTGTGAAATATGAAGTGCTGTGAAGTTCTTGTCTTCGTTATTTCTCCAAGCCATTATCTCAGACTTGTCCTTTTTGCGATTTTTGTTCATTTTTTAATCTCATTTCTTAAATACAGGTGCTACTTTAGATTGAGTTCTCATCTTTTTTAGAGGTTTTTTTTTTTCCCCCCTCTTTTCTGGCCCTACGCAAACCCACGGTTTCCACTGTTCATTCTGTTCTGTTTGTCGAGGCCACAGTTCTGCATCACCAGCCTCATTTTCTTTTTCTGCGTTCACACTTGACTTTTGTTGTTCTCCTTGTTAAACTCTTTAAGTGGCTGTCATTTTTTTTTTTTAATCTTGAATCAGTAGATTTAAAATTCAGCTGTTTCCTTTGTAAATTTAATAATTTCTCTCATTTCCTTGTTTATATTAATGAGTTTAAACATTTTCTTAGGCTCAACATCAACGATCATTTTTAATTCTTCATTCTCTCCTTTTTTTCAGAATTTTTTTGTCATTTTATTGCATTGTGGTACCTGATTCTCCTGTCTCTGTTCTATTTTCCCAGCAGCTAAGTACTTTAAATCCTTTTGCCTCAACTTCCATTAACAGGAGACATCCCTAATCTCTAGATTTTACCATTTATCATGCATACTGTTATCAAATTAATTGTTCTAAATGCAGCCCTGATCATGTTTTCCCTGCCTAACAGTAGCCAAACAGTGATTGAATGCTTTATCAACCATTATCCCTCTTTATTCTAATTGGTCCTCATAATAGTTTTACATTGTAAGTAAATAGTTTTACATTGTAAGTTTTACTATTATCCCACTTTACAGATGAAGAAATTGAGACATTAGCCTGAAGGTGTTGCTAGTAGGTAGAACTGGAATTTGAATCTTAAGCACGTCCTAACTTTCAAATCTGTTCTTGACATACTGCAGATCAACTCTGGAATAAAGTCCTTGTTCCTCAGTGTTACTTTCCAAAATGGCATTATTTGGCCCCAGTGCTCCTTTTCAAATTTATTTCTTGTTTCATTCAAACTTAAATTTACAGTCTTTCTGTAAAAATAAAGTAAAATTTTTTAGCTTCTCATGCATTTTCACTTCTTGGGATTTTCTTCCTGTCTCATCTCTGCCTTTTGAAGTCTTCCATGTACAGGCTAGCTTATATACAATATTTCACGACAGCTTCCTCTTCCCCGACTGTATGGTAGGTAGTAAGGTCTCCTCTCATTCATATAATTGTTTAACTTCTTAATAACTTTCTACTCTGAATTTATTTTTGAGTACTCTAAAGTAGTAATTGAATTATGAAATGCTTGAAAGCAGAAAGCATGTCTAATTGTTCCTTATATCTCCCATTGGATGCTCAAGAAATAATGTGTGAACAAATATGAAAATGATCACTGGTCAGGTCAGGAGCTGCTTTAATGGCATTTAAGTAGTATTTGATTTTAGTCGCTAGATGGCACACGATAGTTTATTGGCGTTTTTATTTGTATATGTAACAAAACCAGATTTTTTTTTTTGTAGGATATCAGGTGAGTTTTTATTTTCAGATTGATTACTAGGTAGTTATGATAAGCTGTTTATTTTTTAAAAATTCAGTTTTTTCCCTGTATGACATGTCTCATCGTTATAGTATATAAATTTTTTTAACAAGTAGCTTGACATTTGAATAATTTTCCATACTGTTGAATTTGACACATTTTCACATGAACTATATAATATTTTCATAAACTCTCTAGCCTCGTATTTTCTTCTGTGCTGATATGGA